ATGTTTCTTCTGCTTCTGAAACACACGGGTCCTAAATGGCAAAATGCATCTTTTTTCTCATTGCTCTGAAAGATCATTTTCTCTAAAGCTGCAATGTCTTTGAATAGGAATGTCAGTCCAGGTCAACATTCTTACCTGTTGACCATCTTCTGTACAATGCATAAATAAATGTCTGCAAAACTATGATTTATATCATAGTATTGATAATGGATTTTATTATAATGGATTGAGTTATATTTTCTGTCAGTTGAACTAGCTTAACTCATTAAAGCATTTTTATGCCTTACCAACCTTTACTTTACTCAATCTAAAACTCCTTAGCATTTGACATGAGGTTAATTTTTTTTTTTTGTAATTGTTAAAACCATTTTTTTTTTTCTCTATTTATCCGTTCTTTTTAAATGAATAATTTATCTGGCTTATGTTACTCCGGGTTCACATTAATACCTGATTTATCTTGGTTGATAAATTTTGAATAGCGTTATATAGTGTTATATATGGAGTGGTAATTCGTGTCGAGAAAATGGTTGATATTAATAAAGAAGGGGGAGATTTGGGAATGTGGCCATGGGGGTTGGAAAGCCCCGTGATTGAGGTAACATTAGACTCTTAACGACGAGGCCATCAGGAATATAAAAGAGTTTGGAGGGAACAAAGAAGGGTGATTCAGGAGACTCCATGCAGTCTCCGGTTTCTTGTTCTCCAGCCATTGAGGCATGGAAGTTTCTGGGTGTTTGCTGTTGTTATATTCAAAGTTGTTTGACCAGTGAAAAGTTGTTTTGAAAAGAACTGCTGTGGAGAGAAGGGTATAAGAGGGGAGCCTGCCCTCAAGATAAAAGAAAAGGCAACACGATGAAGTTACGTCATCAATAAAGAAGCAGGAAAAAGGAGTGAAGAGGAACAGGCTGGCAGAATGGAGACCAGGACGGGAACAAGCACTTTGATTGCCTCACGAAGATGGGTTCGGCCAAACTCAGCAAACCGCTCAGAGAAGCTTGTACAGAAAGTCGCTGGAAATAGGCGCACTGGAGCTGGAGAGAAGCTCGAGCTGAGAGAAGCGGAGCCGCGCACACAACTGCCTCTCGCTGGTAAGCAGTTGTGCATTACGGGGAATCATACGTCCTTAGGAACAAAGACTGACCTGGTAACCTTACAGCTTATTCTCCTTAACAATTGGACAGTTTATGATCCTGAAATATGGGTCCAAACTGAGGTCAAGGTGTGGGACTCTGCAACTAAAAACGACAAGGTTGCAGTGGGATTGCTCAGCACCTGGCAAGCAATCTCTGAGGCCTTAAAGAGCCCTGTGGGGCCACAGTCAGGAACATGTGGTTTGCCAGACAGTGAGGGAGCTGCGGGCTCCTTTACTGATCCGACTGCTACGCCATGGGCCCCTCTGCTGCTACAGCCATCGAAGGCTTTTGCTGTTACGCCCACTGCTGACCTGGACGTGCCTTTTGACCCAGGCCTCATTGGCCTTGAAAAGGAGATGGATATGCTTTTCTTCCATGTGGGAAGAATAGGATACATAAGGCCTGAAGACCGAGTTGCTTGACAACCGAAAGCGAGACATATTGTTTCATAAATATTTGTTTCATAAATATTACTAAATTCAGATTGAGTTGAGACTTCATTTATAACAATAGTGAGCTTCTAGTGGCATGCGGCAGTCATTTCTATAAGCTGGGAAACTGTTACCATCCTTGTTTCCTTGAAATATAACTGAAAGAAGTCTTCCTTGTTTCCATGCAAGCCAATGTATTTACAAAAATGCAAGGAAATAGCATACTATTTTGGCTTTCTCTTTCTCTCTCTTCCTCTCTCTCTCAGAAATATGCATTCAGAAATGCAGAAGACCTTGCAAATGAAAAACGTAGAGCATGAAATAAGACTCTCTTCAGCTACCTCTTTGCCTTTACACTTTACTACTGTCTGTTGATTTTTCTGGAGCCTGTCATGTTTAAATATTCCTGTGGTGGTAATACAAATGGCACTGTATTTACATCTGAACAACAGCAAAACACTTTAATCAGCACTTTCCAAATGTTTTTGACTTTCACAACTAAATTTCTCTCTATATACATACTATTTCTTTTTCTGTCATCCAACTAATCATACTCAACCTTGTTGATGTAGCAAGAAAAACACCAACAGTAAGTGACCAGACTTGAGTTGGTCTTCCCTTCTGATTGCAGTCATAGCTGATAAGCAGGATTCTTATCCTTGGGAACAGCAACTTCTTTGCAAAGGCAAGAGGGCTTAACTGCGGAAGCTTATAAAGTTTCTTGCTGAAGTGGACCCATGAAATTTACTCTTCATTGCAGAATCTCACAGATGGAAGTATGAGGTGCATAATATATTAATATGTTAATAGTCAATGTCACCTCTTTGCTCCATGTATCATTCTCCTCATTTATACACTAAACAATCATTTATCCTCCTAGCTACAGTCTCATATGGGGGCTTGTTTTCCACTGTTTTTGTAGGATTATACTCAGTCTGATCTTATTATCTAGCACTCCTTTGTATTACATCTGTACTGTCTATCTGTAGAGCTATACTGTAACCTGTTGTTTGTTTCATTGTATCTAGCTTTGTATTTTGGGAGTTCTAAAGTGCGTGTTGTTCAGGTGAGCAAGGCAAGGCAGCCAGGCTGGACAGTGTGAGCATCACCAGCTCTGAGCCTTCTCAGTGTTACTAGTTTTACAGTGAGCTTTGGCAGCGTTTGCAGAATTTATCTATTGTTGTCTTTTCATACTTCCTTTGAAAACAAACAAACAAAAAACTAAATACAATTGGGCTTTAATATAAGTTTTAATTAAATAGTCTTATCTGCTTGTTGTTTTGTTTGTTTGTTTGTTTTGTTTAATACGGCCAGTGTGTGGGTTAGCATACAGGATGAATGGTGCTCACCATTCATGACCAGTTATTTAATTTTTCATTTTTATCTTCTTCATTCAGTATTTGGCCTTATACTTTATTTGTTTAAAATTATAGGACCATGGAACGAGGCTGGAATTATCAGTTTCTTCATGGAGTCTACTGTAGTACTCAATATTGCTTTTTATTTTTTTTAGTGCTTCTGAGACATTTATTTGAATACATTTTTGACAAACTCCTCTGAAATATATTATGAATATTCCTGATATTTCTGTTTTACAGAGAAGGAAATTAGACACAAAACTGCAGTTTTAGAAGAAGCTAAGCTGATGCACTATTTGTTCGTTTCTGTCATATCCATACCCTCCTCTCCCCCTCCCTATGTTATTGGACTTTCCATGAGTCAGTTCAGCTTGTTATGTAGAAAATTCTTGTTTCCCACTTCCCCCCTGCCCTAGTAAACTTCCTGGAGTGGTTTGAGGAGAGAAAGCACTGGAGGGGGAGTGGAGCCCTCCATCTGTCAAGAAAGGTGGGCAGTTAGATTTGTTTACTTGTGTCTTCCAACCTCATAGCAAAGCTAAGTAAACCATAGACAGAGCTTTTTATAGCCATCATTGAGTAGTACTTTCCATACATTTGCTACATTTCAACAATTGAGAATGTATTATAGAGTGGCTCAGATTGGAAGGGACCATAAAGATGATCTAACTCCAACCTCCCTGCCATGGGCATGGATGCCACCCACTAGATCAGGTTGGCCAAGGCCCCATGTAGCCTGGCCTTGAACACCTCCAGGGATAGGGCATCCACAACTGCTCTTGGCAACCTGTTCCAGTGCCTCACTACCCTTACCATATAGTCATATGGTACTGTTTAAACATTTTGGTACATGAGGTAACCTTATGTAGTCTGCATGTTTTCATGTACCTCTCTGCCCTGTGTTTTGAATTTTCACATTTCAAACGTTGGAATTATATTTAATTTCTCTCTCTCTCTCTCTCTCTCTTTCCCCCTCTCTTATTTTCCCTCCACAAGGGCATAGTACATACACTGAGAAGCACATGGATTCTTCACTGGCAACTTAGGAGATATATCAGAGTTAAAAGACTTCTTACAGTGTTTTCAATCTTCTGCAGTTACCAGCTAAGGCATGTGGTTTCAGCTACCTCACCCCAAAGTCCCAGGAACAGAAGATTTTAATACAGAACAGGTGTTTATTAATAAAAAGAGAGAATTAGTCAGTATTTGTACTGAGTTGCTTCTAAGACATCCAAGACTTCCAAACTTGCTGATCAGAGTATATTGAAGAGCCCCAAATCCACAGGTGACCCAGTGATGTGTTTTGTTTATAGTTTGTTCTTGTTGTATCATTTGTAGTTACTTTACTTGCTAACTTATGTATAAACAAATGAGTAAAGAAATCAGTCATTTTCTCTCCGTAACTTTGTGCCTCTCTTTGCTGATTACCTATTTGCTGAAGCACAGGAGAATCTCTTAATTGTTCTTTTATCTCCTGATAATCATCAGAGCTTAAGGTTTGTGCCTGATCAGGTACTGGAGTCACCTTGATTGATGAGGTATATACATCCATGCAGGCAGTCATTGACTTTGGGTTCTATGCACCCCCTGACAAACACAGAGCAGTCTCAGGTGTTTCTATACTTTGTATTTAGTCTTTTTTTTTTTTTTTTTCCCTTGCTTTCTTTCGGCAATGGAGGGGTGAAGTTGAGACTTCAGTGACAGCAAGATTACTTTGGGGGCCACAGTTTACTTCTCTTCCCATCTGGGAGAACTAGTGCAATTGTCTATTGTGCAAGACAAAACATGGCTAATGACATCTTCAAAGCTCCTTAAGGAGCCATGCTGTGCTGTTGAAAGGGGCCAACTAGAACAGCTTGATCTGCTGTTTTAGCAAATGTACCAGCTCTTCACAGTAAGTTCACAAAATCAGTCAACTGAGTGAATGAGTTCTTTGAGATGTCACCTGTGAATATTACACTTGTGTGAAGAGTGCATGGTTAATTACTACTAGTGAATAGTAAAATTGCTACTAATGAAAGGTGAAATTAGCTTAAGTGATTTGCTCCACACCATCTTCAATATCTCTGGCAGATGCTAGGATAAGATCTACTTCTTCAGAGGGAACCAAATTATAGGAGCTGCACATTAATTTTTTCCTTTTTTGCCTTGTTTATTTTTATACTAACTCTAAAAAAGGACAGAAGCTATACAGATAGAAGCTTTTTTTATGTGCTCCTTACTTTTTCTCAGAATGTACTGATCTTATGCTCTGAGGGAGAGAAGGTCCTTCGGAGAAAAATAGCCTGCAATCGTAATGAAAGCTGTATTTGTTATTGTCCCGATTCTGCTGAGGTAGGTAGATGTTATCTTGAGTGTTTGGTTTATTGCATCTCATTTTAATGCTATGAAAGAGGACAGTCTCTAAGGGAGCTGCCAGCCAACCAGAAAATCTCTTTATAGAAGATCCAAGACAATCCAATGGATTTCTATATTGTGAAAGTCTGGTTATTTATTTCCTACATGAATAAAACCTAATGAAAGTGAAAATGTTTTAGTGAAATCTGTCATTTTTGAGTGGTTGTAAGATCTAGCTTTATTTAAAAAAATGTTTGCACTTCTACAAAAAAGCTGGTGATAATTGCATCTAGATGAGAAAGAGGAACTTTTTGTCTTCGTGCAAATGGTAAATAATTTTTTTCAGCAGCCTCTGTTTCTTGGGTGTTCAGGAATTAAAAGGAAATCAAGACTTTCAAAACTTGTAGCAGGCAAATTTGTTTAATCCATGTCACAAAAATTGCATAAGCTTGCCTACTCCACTCAAGTCCTGCTTCCTGCTGTATTTTTTCTAGTCTAAGCCACCCAGTACATTGTTCGTGAATGTTGGCAGAGTTAGCTCTACTGTGTCTAACACAACTAAGAAATGACTTTTCCTTTATTAGGTACAGTTTGACTAGCTAACAAGGAAAAATGAAGAGTGTGTGTCTTTTGTTAGGTCCATACATCTTCCCTACTCTTGAAGAATCCTGTTAAACAGTGGTGTTGGTTAGGCTTTTTAGCTGCTAGGTCTCTCAGTCGAAAATTTTGTATTAGTCATGTGCAACAATTTTAAGAGGACAACATGATATAGGGTAAGAACAGTATAGATTATTCATTATCAAAATAATGTGAACAAGATGAGAATATTCATCTGGAAGCAGAAGAGTCATCTGTCACCTTGTGAAGGACCTTTTCACTTTCTCCTAAGCTGCTCTACTTAATATTTAATCTGAGTTGTCACATGTTCATCTCTGTGAACTTCTGCACAGCCAGGGAGCTCCCTAAGAAGGGCCACTCAGCAGGTGCAGTATGCTTCTTTTCCTTGTGTCCTGCTAACACATGTGCTGTCCTTGCTTAAGGTGAGGGGAGAAATGCCTCAAAGACTTTATCAAGGGTTATTAGGTTTTGGTGAGAATAGATCCCTGCTATCCCCAAGGTAATGCTGCCCACTACTTTTATGTTAGAGTCTTCGCAGCAGAAAGCGAAACGAATTTAGTGCTTAAATAAGGAAAAACAAAGACAATTTTCTTTGCAAGCCTTCTAGCATTGTGGTTTTGCCTTTCATTAAAGAGGAGCATAACAATCTGAAATTTATAAAACCATTTCTGGTAAAATATTTTTACATTCTCTTTAATATTCTCTGGGGTGCATGTTTAATAATAGTATATATTTTATAATATTTTTAATGACTACTTTTTATATCTAGTGTTAGTAGTACACTTGCTTTGTGCAGGAGAATTTAATGCTGTAAACGGTTGTCTCCATTAAAGGAGAACCTAGGAAAGCATGCCTTTTTGATAGCAATTTGACATAATCTCTTTCTCTTCTAATTTAGATTTTATTGATTAACACATAGGACAGTTACCTGCCTCCTCCCCACCGCCCCCCTACACTCCAAATCCCATATACCCCATATGTTACTCTGGAGTATGTAAAAACCTTCCAGGAGTGTTTTACTAATGCTGCTTGCATCCATCTTATGTTGTTTACTCTTCACATTGTCTTCACTGAAGGCAAGTTTTATTTATAGCTGGTTTCATTTTGATAAAAGTCCTTTAGAAAACAAATATCACAATTCCCTCTGTTAGGAAGTCATGCATCAGAAAAGGTGCTTTGCACTTAGAGAATAGTGAGGTTGACAGTATTTTATTTTATTATTTTATTTTATTTTATTATTTTATTTTATTTTAGATTTTATTTTATTTTAGATTTTATATCTGAGTTAATTCCAGACGTTTAAATCTTGACGAAAGCTCTAATATGCAGAAATGATTTGGTTTCATGGTAGAAAGTGCCATTTCACCTGGAGAGTGTAAATTCAAAACTAGATGAAATGTGAACGGTCTTTTAAAACAAAATCAAAGATAACCTTAATGATTCTATGATAACAGAAAGAGTCTATTAGTATTTTAAATGGTCAGCTTTCTCTTTGGACTATAGAAAGAATTTCATATTTCTACTTATTTGTTACTAAGTACAGCATACGCTATTCAGAAAGGTGAGAAGACATGGTATAATGCGATTTTTCTGAAATAATTGCAAGCCAGCAATACAAGACCCTTCCTAGGAAGCTTTATATGAGCTTTCAGGATGCTCAAATTAATCCTCAAAAGGGAGATTTATATAAAGACTCATCTTAGGTAAATAACTCAAATTAGTTGATTTGTGTAAAGTGTTTCTAGAACCTGTAAATCAACAGAGCTGGAAAAAATCAGGAGGCAAGCAAGTGTGAAGAAGCAACCACATGCTTTAGATTAGGAGTATTAATTTTTGTATCTTGTTAGTTGTGCCTAAATTTAGATGCATCTGTAAAACCGGCCTGATGATTTTAATTTAATTGGCTGCAATAGGTGTGAGGGGTCCTCAAATGCCAAAATTAGGCCCACTGCAATCATATGCATGCACACAGAAAGAGGCTACATTTTGACTTACACTGGAAAGTAGCTCTCATGCATTAAACAGTACTTAGTAAAGAGGATGAAAGCAAAACTAAGAATGTTCTTTTGGTCTATTTGGCCAAATGATGCATGTATTGGTTTTTCTTCCTACTTGGTTTAGTGGGATTGTGATGAAAAGGGAATATTTCCACACATTTATTGCATTGCTAGTATTCTTATAGGAAAGGACTTGATGCACTATCACTAAATTTTATTCCAGGAAGCAATGGCATGACTTTCTTGCCATGATGAATAGAGGACTTGCTTTCTGCTAAAGAATTGTAGTGATTGCTGCTAATCTGTAGCCTCTCACTCTGGGTTCATCAAAGCTGCAAATGCAGGAAACAGCATTCACATAAATTTTGAACTAGTAAATAAATATCTTTATAACTTTTAAGTGTTGGCAGACATGTTTTTAGATGAACTTTATGCTCTGTTTACTATAATTCATTTGTTTCTCTCTGTCCTCACTTGTCCTCCTGTCCCCATCAAATTGAAATGCCAAGGAAAACACTGATTCTTTGATTGTTATGGTGTGTAAAGAGTTACCTTTGAATTAGAAGGCAGATTTTCATGTGACTCATTAAATGGCTAGTGTTTAGTGCTCTTGTTAATTCACCTAGCCCATACTCAATGCATCATGCTATGCAGTGGTTGCGAAATGGGCTGGATTAAATTCCCAGGTTTCCATTTGATTTCCAACTATCACTAGGCATTGTCTCCAGACATGAGTTATATTTTTTGTTCTCGGCTACAATTAAAAAGCACATGCTATTCTATTCTTTCTGCTTAGTTTGTAAGACAGCAAAATATTAATGGATAAGAGTATTTTCAGAAAAGTAGTGGTTGCAGTTATTCTAAAATAAAGTATTGCTAGCCTTATGCATCAAACTTCAGATAACCTTGATAGCAACACAGAGCAGATCTGAAAAGTACTAATCGAACTCTTATATTCTTAAGTCATTGAACAGATACGCATGTTGGAAGATAATGATCTAGAAAAACACTTAACTCTCCTTAACCTCCTTTGCTACATAGGACATGGGCTTTAGTTCTGCTGCCTTTAGTGGAGAATGTGCTCAGAATTAAACGTGTTTGGGTTCCTTGTTCATTGAAAATCAATGTCAGTATGTATTTAAATATAATGAGAGGTTTAGTAAGAGGCAAAGTACGGTCAGTTCAGTTGTAAATGGGCTGTATTTCAGTACTGTCTGTGGTCATTGCAAGTTCAGAAAGGTCTTTTGTGAAGCTATGAATTGCAGCTTTTTGCTTTCCATCTATTTTCCGCTTTCTGTTAAACTAATGATCTGTGTGGAAGCATTAATGTTAAATGTTAGTAAAGTAGTATGACTATTTGAAGATTTCTGTTTCTAGGTTACTTTACTAAATGAAATAACGATATTAATTGATTTGGTGCTATTTTACAGTGAAGAAACTATCTTCAGGAACTGCATAGATACTGTGCTTGCATTGGAGGTGGGATGGGGGACGTCTTCTTTTTATTTACTCTAGCTGCTCCCAAGGAATGGATGCAGAAGGGATGCTCTTATACAGTTGAAACCTTTAGAGGGACTTTCACTAGGGTATTAATGCAGCTGTGTAACCTAAGTATTAATTAAGGCCTCAAATATTAGCATAAGGTGAATGTTCTCAGTAATGCTGCTTTTCAGAATTTTCTTTGGATTTTTTTTCCACATTTCCACAAAGTCTGTTTTCCCCAATGGCACATTTCATATTTTAATTTCTTGTTTCCCCCCTCTATTTATATGATTTCTTTTTAGGCACCTTTTCCTGTTAAGTTTCCCCGTTATTCCCGAAGTCATATTTTTAAATGAAAGCAAAGGGTGCAGGAGCATAATCAAAAGATCTTTTTCTTTACCACCTCCTCCAAATATGTGCGTGGCTTTGACAAGTGGGATGGCAAACTTACTAAATGGCCATGGCACGTAAAATGATGTAGCATAGAATGAATCATTTTTAGCAGCCCTGATGAAGCAGGAGATGTTCTCATATAACCGGAACCATTTACCCTCTTCTCTTCATTACATCAGCGCTACTCTGTTCTGTACTCTGAACTCTGAGAGCTACTTAGCCACCCACATGTTTAATCTATAGAAATCATTCTGAAAATTGTATTCCTTACTGTATAAAATTTGATATGTTTTATCCATTTTATGTCATCAGATAATTCATATTTATTTATTTTTAATGAGACCATTTATGTTAAATCGGAAATATATTCAATGGTCTGGATTGAAGTTGTAAAATTCTGCAAATTCAGATTTGAGTCTGTGCTTTAAATATGGATTTTATATTTTATGTCAGAGATTGTAATTTGGTTTCAATAGCATGTCGTATTTCATTTATTGGATATAGTGTCTTCTTACTATCTTTTTATTATGAAAATAGTTTAATCAATTGTAGAAAAAAACACTTGCTTAATCTTCTTTTCTCTTAACCTTCTGTAAGGACAACAAAATGAAGTCTTACTATTTCAGAATATTAAATGTGCTTTTAAGAAATGCGATCATTTAAAGATGTACGTGACAGTTTTTGTATTGACTTTTTAGTGAGTATTCATAGATTATTTGTATAACATTTTTTCCTGCTCTATATTTTTAAACAGTTTTCCACTTAGCCTATAAAATGCTTTAACACTCTTGTTTGCAGCAGTTGTGGTAGTCATGGATGTCACTGGTGACAATTCCTGGGAATTAAATGGGTTGCCCATTTCTGCTGTACCTCTGAGCCTGCATCTGTAATATGGCCTGCAGGCCATCCAGACAACGTGTCCATTCCCCAGGGCAAACTCATTCTAACTGGAGCTGCTTCACCATAGCAGGCAGTCCTAGCAGGCAATCCATAGCAGGATTGTAACCATCCTCCATGGCGTGGAAAAATAAGTAAAGTGAGTTATTATATTAAATTATTATATTAAAAATAATAACAAGAGGAAGCTTATCCTGAAGTCAATGCTACAACTATAATGCTCATGCTCCTTGATTAGCAAACAGGGTATTTCTACATGGAGCATAGTCAGGGCAGTTACTAAAGTACGAACAATCCTTGACATAGGATGTTACGAAGGTTACAAGCCTCTGGCGTAACTTAGCTGTTGGTGCCCTATATATACTTGTTTCAGAGGGCCTTTTGAACATCATCTTTCCTTGGAGTCTGAAATTTTTAACTTGGACAGACACAAATCTTTTAGGGCAGTCATACTATTTCATTTTTTTCATGTGGTGTAGAAGAGTGTGAGAATGGATGACTATATATTCCCTGCTTCCTAATTCAGTGGCTTTTCAGAGAGAAAATATACCTAGACATGTTCCCCCCAGGCATCTAAATAAGCAGTTCGGCAACAAAAAGTTGTGGTCTGCTGAGTGCATCTGGACAATAAGCGCACACTTCGTAAAAACAGTCCTACAACTGCCTTTAATCTGTCCTATATATGTGCCAAAGGCTTACCTTTTCCTTTACTAATGTTTCTGTAATTCAGGACTGTAATTCACTTGGGGGTCGCTGGTGCTCTGTCAATGTTTAATTGTTCTAATTACTTAATTATCTGCTCTGGTGAAGTGGTAAAGCCTTGACATTTCACATTTTCCCTAGGAATATGCATCTGTAATATCTGTAATCTGTTGGATATATCAATCTCTGTATTTGTTAAATACAGGGTAAAATGATTTAGTAAACCCAGTCTTCTAGTGATGATGAGTTTATCATTAGTAATTCCTTTTACTGGGCCACTTGGTCACTTTTTTTTTTTTTTTTTTTTTTAGCCTCTATTATGTTTGCGAGGGGTTTCCTCTTTAAAATGAATCTTCTTACCTTTCAATTTGCTGGTGAAACAGAAAGGCTAAAGAGAATATGTTGGGTGAGATTTTTGAAGGCTAATTCAATTAAACTGGAAAGTTGCTTTACAGTGAAAGACAGGTGAGAAACATGGCCTCATCAAGCAAGGAATTTATCTTGTATACAGACTGTTAATTGTGTATTCAGGTATCATAGCAGTCCCTGGTGAATGATATGGTAGGGAAGAGCTGTAATAGATTGAAGCTTTGTATTTTAAAAAAATATATAAAAAATAAATTAAAAAAAAAAAAAGGTGTTTTTCTGTAATAAGTTTTTGTATGCACATTGACTGATTTTCATTGAAGAAGCAGAGAAAGTAAATTCCAGTCAAGCTTTCATGTAGTATATATCTCTGTAATAAAAAAAAATAAAAATGAAGAGATGAGGATCTTAAATGCTATTTACTATTAAGAATTTTCTTAAATGTGTCTTTTTTTTTTGTTTTTCTCTTACTTATCTAAGACTGGGAAAGAAAATGTTAGTATTTACATAAGTATTTTTGTTAGCTGGGCAATGCCAGCTGTTAAATGAAAGGAATTAGAGAAAAATGCATCAGGGCATAACTATTCCTTCAGTTTTCAAAATTAAAGTGACTCTTGGAAAGCTGCAGAAGACGTTAGCTTTTAGTACAGAAAGAAGATTGGTAGAAGATACTACAATTCTACTAGTAGCAAGGTAATGCTTGTACACTTATTGTGATGGGGCTAAGTACCATTTATTCTCCGTTTTCTTTTACTGAAGGCAAAGGAAGAGGATCCTTTTATTTCATCAGTAGTATTTACTTGGGTGATAGCATTTGGGAGGGTGGAGGGAGACAGGGTGGTACAATAATCAGTGCTTTACAAAAATAATGTACAAGTTCCTTTGAGTAACTTGGACAATTTCTGTTTCTGTAGCTGTAATTATCAGCATTCATGAAACCAACTCAATAAGGTCCTGGAGATCTGTGTTCCTCCTCACCCCACCTCCCATGTGAAGGGACTGTGATCCTGTTGTAATGATAATTACAAGTTTTGGCTTCATTTTAGCAACCTCTGTCATCACTTCACTGATGTCCAGTAAAGTGTACACTTTACTTTATTATTATGTACACTAATAATAAACATTAAAAATAAATCTACAGGAGCAGAATATAACTTCTTTCTAAAGCTACAGGAGCAGAAGAAAGCTTCTTCCTACTAAGGGCTTAATGCAGAAAATTGGTTGATTATCTGGACACAAGAAGTCATACATGTATACAAACAGAATAAGTAATGCCAGAGAAGAAACCAGAAAACATAAAATCCTCCAGCCTCCACCAACACTGTGATGATTCAGGCCTAGGGAACATGTTTCTTGATGTTAGCTTTAATTTTCTATCTTTCTAAAAGTGTGTGTACTTTCTTGATAAAGCTCTGGACTGGGACTTGGTAAACATGAACCAGAAGCTTATCTAAGATGCTGAGAGATTTGCCAAGGGATGCTGAAAAAGTCACTCATTCAGTCTATTCTGTATATATATTTTTTTCAATGTATTAAGGCATTATGTATTGAATTACCTTCTAAAGAGTGTCTACAGATGAAAAGTCTTTATTGTAACATAGATCTTATTATTGCCACAGTTTATTACATTTTAGAGTATGTTTTTGTGAAATTAAGCTATCATAAATTCAACAGGCTAGGTGGGTTCCTGACATAAGGGTGGGATTTGTTGTGAGACACAGAGAGGACGAAGAACAAATTTTACTGTTATTGTTTCTAGGCTGGTGAAGTTAGAAATGCATTTAAGCTTCCAGGTCTTCCCATGACTTGGTCAGGGCAAGTCTTATCAGACACCAGCCCCCATCTTCTCTGCAGTTTTATCAGTCTGGGGAAATGACTTATGGGTTTCCTTTTCAGCTTCCTTACCCTGCATAGCATAGACATGCCTAGAAGATGTGGTTTTGTGGCACAGCCAAGCCTGTGATACCCTTTGTGACTTGTGAATGAGGCAGCCCACTCCTAACTGCCCTCCTACTACAGCTGTTGTGCCAATACAGATTCCTGTCTGATCTCACAATATGTCAGTTTAGGGAGTTAAACCAGCATAAAACTATTCATGGCTAACATGTGTGGTTATTTTTTCTCCTGGTTAACGTTCTCATATTGACTTATCCTTGGATTCCATTTCAACCTGAACCATGCCAAAATGCAGAGAAAAGCAGTAAGCTACATTTCTGCGTTCTTTTTATAACAAGATCTGAAAATGAAATTAAAAAAAAAAAAATATTGAGGACAGTTCTATTAAAAAAAAAAACTTGCACAATCATTTTTTGTGCTTGCCTATTAAAGCAAAACCTATGTGAGAACAACTTTTTCATAATCCATAATGAGACTGTATATTAGGAAAAATGTTATTGAGAGGGTAGTAGGCCAAGTACAAGCCTTGGAAGGCATTTGTCCAACATAAAGTTATTTAGTAAGACACTTTCACCTTTGAACTTCCTTAATGTAATCTTATTTCACAGAGTGGAAATGCCTTTCAGGGATCTTATGCTCAGTAATGTGAACACATAGACACGTATCTGATAAAGTGATGGCATTAACTACCAGTAACATGACACTAACAACCTCATTTTGTTGTTTGCATCCTTCCTGTCTGCCAGGTGTAGGAAAGGAGGAGGAGAAGGTGGCCAGTCACAGGTGGGTTTATGCAGAACAAGAGAGACTGACAGAAAAATGGTAGGCTACCTACAAAACCTGATCTGTTTTCTAATGGTTCTTACCCATACACCTGCTGGTGTATTCTTATTACAGTCTGCTTATTTCCATTATCTGTCTAATTTCTTAGGGGGCGCTATGCATGGATCTTACAAGGGCAAAGTTTAGTAATACTCTAAAAGTAACGTGACTGCTAGAAGGAAGGATCCTTCTCGTATACTGTATATGGATTAAACTCAAAATAAAGACTTTTTTTTGAAATAAACAAAAATAGTTTTTGCTAAGCATAGTCACCATATACTCCCTGAGAGGATGTCAGCAAAATCCACAGAGATTTATCTTTTTTTATTCTTTTTTTCTTTTTTTTTTTCTGAAAAAATGTTCCTTGATTGCTAATTACTATTACAGTTTAGTAGACTGTCCCTTCCCCAGCTCTCCCTTTCCCCAGCTTTGCTTTAATTTTTGCTTTACTTAGAAAATAATACCCTGAATTTTCTTGCAGTATTTTGCGCTAGCAAATTAGCCAACCAAAAACATAGTGGGAATAACTTTAGAAAAAAGATGAATATTCAAAAATGCTGTGACTTAGGGGAGCTGTGGGAATGAATGCCAATGGATACATTTTTATTTTCCTTTGTGCTGAGTGCAGGAATGATTCATTTCTCTGTTGGTTAAAAGTCCGTTTTATACCACTACATAAATTTATATATTCACCGCCAGGATTCAACGTAGCATCTTGGATATGATTGTGATTTAAGAGCTTGCTTTAAAAAATATGAAACTTGTCACCCTTCAATTGCATGTACTCAGCAAGGCCACCCTAGCAAATGGGTCAAAAGAAAATCCCAGCTCAGGGTATCCTTATATATATCTTCCCTGTCTCCTGTACAGTTTTTAAATTTGGGTATTGCAAATGGCCTCTAGCTTTAGAAAGGAGAAGAAAAACAAACCAAAGACCTGAATCAGTAGTATGTTCTTATACCAATGCTTTTAAATTTCATGATTTCAGAAGCTGGAATCAACGCCACAAGACTAGATTGTTGATGATAAATTTATTGTATTTAGAAAGCAGTTTCTAGCGAGACACCAAAAGAGCTGATATATACTTTACACTGGCCTTTGCAGCTAGCGGTGCTATGATTTACATTGTCTTCTGTAACAGTGCTGATTTTTATTACGTGTGTAGTTTGTTTTAGCTTAGTAGGCTAGAATGAAATTATTTCAATAAATAGGCTCTTTTAATTACGAGATTTTCTTTCTTTCCCTTGACATGTAGTTATAGGGTTATAGGGATTTTTTTTTTATTTTTATTTTTTTTTGGAAGGGTAATGGTTTTGTTAGTTTTAATCTAAATTAGTTATCTTTGCAATTCCTTCAACTATGCCAAAAATGCTGGATTTTCATTATAGATGCAAACAAATCTGTGAGAAAGCAAATGCTTTGGAATAAAGCCTAATTGTTATGGCTTCATCTTGCAAATGAAAGATGTGACTTAAGCTCTTCTTTCAAAGCTGAGATTTCCTTTGAAACAGTGTTTCAAAGTGCACAGAACTTGCACACTGAGCAAGTGCTTAGATTTCTCAGCATTTGGGCAAAAGGTTTCGTTTGCCTTGGTCTTGCAGATAAACATGGTTTATACTGCCAAGAAGGGAGTTGCTAAACCCTCTTAGCATGTGTGCAGATGGGGAATTCTGCAGCACTATCGAGTAGGTTGAGAATTCCCCATGGCAGTGACTGGGGAATGCAAACACTGAGATGTGTTGCTCTGGGAAAGTGGCAGCACTTCCACAAAAAAAGATAGTAGTAGCTATGTGGGTGAATTTTTATCAGTGAAGATAACAGCTTGTGAAGATCTCTAAGACATGTTGGATGAGAAGAAACTTAATTTTCTCAGATTTATAAAGGCAAACTCTGGTTACACTTCATTTTAGTGTGCCTTAGAGCCTCAGTGTGATATTCCATGACTTGTAGCTAGAGATTAGTCCCTGATTAAAAAGCATGAAGGTGGTGTTATAGGTTTAACACCTTGTCTACTTCTGATACTGCATCAAACTAATTAGATCAATTCAACTTTGCTTCTTCTGAAAATGTTTGGAAGAATTTAATTTGCTTATCTTCTATTTGTTTTGAAGTTACATTGTCACAACTGGATACTTGCTTTGGTTTCAATTACAGAACTTAAAATTTAGCAAGTACCTTGAATATGTGGTGGTGTTAACCTTACTGGACAGCTAAACTCACCACAACTGCTTTCTTACTTCACCTCTTGAAAGGAAGAGGGGGAGAAAATATGATGGAAAAGGATTCAAGAGTTGAGATAAAGACAGAGAATGGAGATTGCTCTACAATTACCATAACAGGCAAAACAGACGCAGCACAGGGAGATTAATGGAGTTTATTGCCTATCACTAGCAGATTAGAACAGTGAGAAACTAAAAGCAATCTACAAACACCTTCCGCCCATCCACCCTCTTCTACATCCTCCCCCCAAGAGATGCAGAGGACCAGAATGGGGCTGTGGCCAGTCCCTAATGCTTCATCTCTACCTTTCCTTCATGGTCACTCCTGGCTCACTTCATGGACCCTACTCCACGTGGGGTCCCTCCCACGGGATGCGTCTTTCCCGATCTGGTTGTGCATGGGCTTCCCACAGGCAGCAGCTGTTCAAGAACTGCTCCCATATGGCTCTGTAGCATGGGATCCATTCATCAGGAGCAAACTGCTCCAGCATGGATCCCCCACGGGCTGCAGCTCTAGCCCAGGGTCTGCTCCTGTGGAGGCTCTCCATGGGCCGCAGCTTCCTCCAGGCCTGCTCCACTGGGGGCTCCTCCACAGGCTGTAGCATGGAGATCTGCTCCATGTGGGACCAGCCTGCTCCAGGCTTCAGGGCAACTGCTGCTCTGTGCCTGGAGCACCTCCTGCCCTCCTTCTGCACTGACTATGGGGTCTGCAGGGCTGGCTCTTACTCCTTGCTCTACCAGCTGCTGTAGTGCAGCAGTTCTTTTTCCCTTAAATCTGCTCTACCAGGGGCCCAACGACCATCGCTCACTGGCTTGGCTCTGGCCAGCAGTGGGTCTCTTTGGAGCTGGCTGGAGCTGGCTCTGATCTGACATGGGGCAGCTGTTGGGCTCTGCTCATGGAGGCCACCCCAGCAGCCCTCCTGCTATGAAGCCCTTGCCACATAAACCCAGTGCATTTCCATGAATAATTACACTTTTCTGCCCTGCTTTCTTAATAGTTTGTTTGTATTGAGCACGGTTCATTTTCTTTATAAAGGAAAACAAAGCATGTTCTTTCCCTTTAGATAAATGTCCTTCTTTTATTCTATAGGCAGATTCTATTCCATGTCTCTTCTGTTATTCTATAGGCTCCCCAGGGAAGCAGTCATGGCACTGAGCCAGCTGGAGTTCAACAAGTGTTTGGACAATGCTCTCAGACATATAGTTTGGTTTTTTTGGGTGGTCCTGTGTGGAGCCAGGAATTGGACTCGATCCCTGTGGGTCTCTTCCAGCTTGGGATATTCTGTGATTCTGCTTCATTCCATTTTAACAGATCTCCTTTGTTGAATGTCTTTAACTGATCCAAATGAAAGATTTTAATATGGTGTTGAAAGCGAGAAGGTGTGAGAGGGAATTAAAAGATTGTTAGCATACAGCAAGTCACTGGAACTAAAGATGCTTTGCAATAATTTCCTTTATTGTCCCTTTGGGAAAGAATTGTATCTGCTTGTTTACCTAGAATGCTCTTAGCTCATCCCTCTTAGGATTTAGTGGGTATTGAAAACAGCAATGTGTAGAGGCCAGATATATTCTAGAAGGATAAGAATGCCTGCATTTTGCCATGGGAAGTGGAATTATATCTCCATCCTGCGCACAACAAGCTATTTATCATGCTCAGAAAACAGCAGTAGGTAACAAACTTGAAACCTTTGCAGCTAGGAGACCGTTTATATCATCCCAAACATTATTTTTGTGAAGAAATGATTCTCACCATCATGTTATGTTGTGTTCCAGTGGAGTGCTTCAGTCATTTTGTATTATATCTTGTTGCACTTAATTTATGTAATTGATGTACAGTTATTGAAAATGAAACAATACAGCTCTGAATTCCCAAGTTTCCTTTATCTCTGTTTAAGATCATTTAGTGTTTATTACAAAATTGTTGACCCTTTTAGGGGAAAGATCCCCAGCCTGTCTGGGGATCAAGTGTTTTGTCTTAGAAGTAGATCAGTTATGGGGAGTATGAGCTGGGGGAGAGGCCTGAGGGCTTCTGACCAGTGAGGGATGAGGAGGTTTAAGCAAGCTGTTCTGACTCAAATTGGAGGGATTCTGATCCTAAATACTTATGAGAGACTTTGAAAGAAGGTATGTATTTCAAGCAAAAAGCCTTCAGAATGGAATCCTAATGAGCAGGTATTTGGTCTTTTGAAAAAAAATCTCAGTTTAGGCATATAGTGTCTCAGTCTAATATCCAGAATTAAATGCAAAGCTCTGTAAAAAGATACTGAATCAAAGTCTTTGTGTCAAGCCACCAAATCAGAGGCTGCAAGAACAGTCAAGGTCACCTAAAATAGTGTTCCCCATATGTTTAAAAAACAGCTTATTCCATGGGAGCAGTTGCTTTTAAATTAAATTAAAATAAAATAAATCCATGTTAAGGATATAGAAGTAATATGAAATGAACTTAATGAAATAAGTTAAAAAAAAAAAAAAAAGCCAGTTATATGAAACAGAGAATGACTAGATAAACATTGATGGGAACAGAATTAATAGGTGCCTTGTGAGATCTGAAGTATGAGCAGGAAATCAATGAGATTCAGTGTGGAAAAATATAGCCTATTGCACCTGTGGCATAATAATTCATAATTCACAGATTAAAAACAAAGAAACAAAAAACTTAGACCCTTTAATGGATGATAGTAGTACCAACAATTATAGCTGAAAAGTGAGGACACAAGAAAATGTTGTATAACATGGTGCCACATATATTTATTCTCATGAAATAACATTATGATTTTAATCACTGAAAAACTTGTGTAGCATGTGGTCATAGAAAATTAATGTATTTATAGATGATGCCTGAATAAAGTACTAAAGGCATTAGATTTGTGAAATGATAGTTTAGGGATCAATACATTCTAAAAATATGAAAGTGGTAGTATACTTTGTTTTGCTTGGCTTCCATGCAGGATGTTAAGGCTGCATTTAGGTTGACCACTAAGAAGAGGTTCCTAATTGTTGCTTTTATTTGAGTGTTAAATAAACTACAGAAGCAAGTCAGTTGTTTAAAAACAACTTGATGATAGCATTAACAAAACTGCGGATCAAAGGACTTGTAGAAGTTTCTTTTATTTGAAGGGTTAGGAACTGCATGTCTTGCATTTTGCAGAGTAATAAAATGAGTGTCTAAAGGTCTACTCCAACTTCCACTTCAAATCAGGGAAACTTTAAAAATTGATCAAGCCTTTGAAAAAAATGACTTCTCACCTATCCTATTCTTCAGAAAATCTCCAAGGCTGAATTTTCTATAACCATCCTGAGAACCTTATTCTACTACTTTACCACACACTGTGAAAATTTGTTTGGCTTATATCTAGTTGAAGTTTTCCTTGTGTGCTCATCACCTCTTGTCCAATTGCTGTGTCCACCTGATGATGAATTATAAGAAGATAACTGTCTAACAACCCATTGGGTAGCTGAAGACCACAATTGATTTCTCACTCAGTTTTCTCTTCATAATGATATTTCGGAAACCTGTATTTCCAGTCTTTATGTATTCATCCCTTTTGGTCCATTTCTTTGTGATTTGTCTACCAGGATGCTGTGATAGACTGTGCTAGAAGTCTTGCTGACATCAGGATAAATGACTTCCATTGCTTTCCACTGTTCTGAAGACCCAGTCACTTCATCGAGGAAGACAGGTTGGTTAGATACAACTTACCCTTCGTGAATCTATGACGACTGTTCTCTGTCATCTTCTTGTCTTCCATTTGCCTTTGAATGTATTCCATGTTTGAATGGATTCCATGTTTGCTTGTTCTACAATTTTCTGAGAGACTGAAGTGGAGCTAGCGGCCTATAGCATCCCAGATCCTCCAGGTTTATTGTTCTGAAGATAGGTATAGTATTTGACTTTTTTCTAGTCATCATGGACTTCTAGTCATCAAGTATTTTTCTGCTTGTGTTCTGATGAAAATTTGAGTTATTCTTTATAAAATTGATTTACCAGAAACTGGTATAATTGCCTATGAATTAATGTAAAAGTGGTTGGGCTGGGTTAGTTCTAATGTCTTTCTAGCCCAGTGACTGGGACCAGGAATATACATCTAAATGTGAATTTTATAAAGCAATTGTGTAAGTGTACTTTCCCGGAATGTATATCCCAGTTTTGAAGAATTTTTAACTTAGTTCTGTTTTGATGTCTGTATTTCATAGCCCTGAGGAATTTATCCCTTTTGAATCTATCCCAATTTTTAATATCCATAGTATCTAGTGGCAAAGAGAATGTTGATGCTGAAACGTTTCCTTTAAAAAAAATATTTTTTTTCTTTCCTGGACTAACTTTCTGCTGGAACTATGCCTTCTGTGAGACAATGTGAGTCAGGATGTATACCATACACTGAACTCTTCCTGAGGAGTCTTTGTGATGCATCTTGAGAGACATTTAATTGAGAGGCATTGCATTGTAGGGGAAACTGGGAAAGCCAGCATAGCATATTTGTTTCCACAGGTAAACATAAATAAGTAAGGTATTGTAGTTTTTAAACAAAGCCACTCACACAGATTCCATACTAACCTAGTATCCCCTTTTCTGTTGCTGAGCTGCAAAAGCATATTTGGGGGTATCCTTTACTTGGACCATATTGCTAGATTTTGTCCTAAACTTACCTAGATTTGCCTATTTTAATGTTAGAATAGGTACATCTTTGTCTACTTGACTTCCAGTCCTAGCTTTACATTGTAACACTACAATGTGATTACAAACATGAATTTGAGAATTGCTACTTCTTAGGCCTGAAGATGTCCCAGTGCTCTTTGAATAAAAATTAATATAAGTAAAGCAGACCCTTTTCCTTAGATCAGTGCTCTGCTCTCCTCCCTCCCCCCCTCCCCCCCATCTTTCTTGCTTTCAGAATCTTCATGAAATGAGCAAGGAGGAATTTTAAGGTTTCTTCAAAGCGAGGTTCGTGTAGACCATCAAGGGAATATTGATGATTTAGGGAAGTATTTTCCCCCCAGACTTGGTTGGGAGGGACTTGGGACTTGGAGGTTGATTCCCTGTTCTCTTAAGCTTATGTTTCTTTCATTAATAACAGAGGGGAGAGACAGTTAATAAACTTCTGTAAATACACATGTGAATTATGTAAATTACATGCTAACAGTAATGGAGAAGAATTCATATCCTTGCCTTATAGGGCAACATTTGAATTATTTTTCTGTTCTTTTTTATTATTATTTTATTATTATTTTTTGCAGTTTAGAGGAGTCACTGTCAAGCATTCTCACTTCTTGACTGTACCATTGTCGTGGTTTAACCTGGCCAGCAGCTAAACACCACACAGCCGTTCACTCACCCTGCCCCCCCCCGTCTGGGATGGGGGAGAGAAACGGGAAAGTGAAGCCTGTGAGTTGAGATAAAGACAGTTTATTAAGACAGGAAAATAATAATAATAATAATAGTAATAACAATAATGATGATAATAGTACTACTACTAATAATGTGTACAAACAAGTGATGCACAATGCAATTGCTCACCACCTGCTGACCAATGCACAGCCTAACCCCAAGCAGTCCGGCCTCCTCCCCCCGGCTAGCCACCCCTATATATTGTTTAGCATGACGTCAGATGGCATGGAATACCCCTTTGGCCAGTTTGGGTCAGCTCTTCTGGGTCTGTCCCCTCCCAGCTCCTGCTGCACCCCCAGCCTGCCTATTGGCAGGACAGAGCAAGAAGCTGAGATGTCCTTGGCTTGGTGTAAGCACTGCTCTGCAACAATTAAAACATCGAGGTGTTATCAGCACTCTTCTCATCCTAAGCCAAAACACAGCATTCCACCAGCTACTAGGAAGAAAATTAACTCTGGCCTAACTGAAACCAGGATAACCATATATAAACATGAAAGGACTGAAGTAGTTCATTATTTAGTATTGCAGATATATTTTAATAGCTGTGGTGACAGATAATAATCCCATTGTATTAGGTACGCACAGTTTTGTAAGCATATGGTTTTAATGTTGCTCTAGCCATGTTTAGTCAAATAGATGCATAGCTACATATTTGTAAATGAAAACATTGGTTCATAATGTTCTTTTTACATTCTGGAGATGTTGCTGGTTGCCAGCTAAATAGCACCAACCACCACTTAGAATGGAACAAAGTAACTGGAGTTGGTTCTTCTTTGTTCAGCAAAGAAATTTCCCCAACCTGCTACACGCTGGTGGGTGCAATGTAGTCCTTTCTTTTAAATATCCAGCTACTTCAGAAGTTTTCCTCTTTGTTCTCATTTTGGTATTCAGTAACTGAATATTGATATGTTTCCAAAATATAGAGTTCCACATCTGTTCTTTCCTGCCAAAGGCCAAGAAAAATTTCTTGCTATGTGATATGATCATCATATGGAAACTGGCCATTTCACAGTTCTCAGTTGCTGAATATAGTAACTTCTTGCTTTCCTTTTCGTATCACATGTTCGGAGTGAGGTCGCTGTTCCAGGATGGAATACATTGAACACTGATACTGTGACTGAATGAAGTATATGGGAAATTAAAGGAAGTATTTGCCATATACGTATGATTGCACATTCTTTTAAATGTGTGTAACATATGCTGACATTAACTCTAATAATTTTCCTTCACAAAATTGTCTTCAGATTCTTATCACAGTTTTTCAAATCATAAAATATTGTGAAGTTTCTACTTCTAAGTTGTATAAGAGAAGAAACAGCATGTATCAGATACATTTCAAAGAAACTCTGTCACTGGGCAGGGGAATTTTAAAGTCAAAAGCACTTCGTCAGATTACCTCATTCAAAGGTAAAAGTGTTCTGGTTCATGGAATAAATATATTTTTAATGAAAACTACATCTTTTTTTTTTTTTATCTATTTGTGAAAAGAGTCTAGTTAATAGCAATGAAAAAGCGAAGTCATCTGTTTTTGTATGTATTTACACTAGCTAACATTCTCTGAATAAGTGCTTGTGGAAGCTTCCAAAGGGGTGGCAATTACAAGCTGAAAATAGTTTCCAGTATACTATGATACTATGTCTTTCGTGCTCCTGAAGTGCTATCTTTATATATGGCTTGATTTAGCTTTTTTTTTTTTTTTTTTTAAATAGTAGAGCACATTCAGTAATAATGCATTTAGTACATATTTTAAGTAATTTTCCTTCAGGAGACTCCAGGTACATGTCAGTTGTAAGGTTTAGATCTTGTGTCTTCATTCACAGAATTGGCTCAAGTTGTGCTAGCAGGGTATTGTTTTCTAGCAACTTTTTAATGGTAGCACCGATAGCTTTATTTGAAGTAAAAGAAAAAACAAATGAGTCTATATTTTTCCTAACATAGTTCTTTTGGTCAGCTCAAGAGAGAGGTCAATTTATTAGGCAATCCATTTCTAGCAATTCAAGAAAATGCCCGTTGGTTTTGATTCATCGTTAGTTTGTTATTATTTTAACCATTGATTTATTTTAGCAGAGATTTCAATCAAAACTCCTAATTACTTATCTTGAAGATAATTACATTCTATCAGGTTCTCTTTAATGTTATGTAACTTTTGGTGAATGTATAAAAGATGAAATATTTATTTATTTATTTTATTATTATTATTTTTTTTAACGGTGTACTTTGTGCTCCAGTAACCTCATTCTTTCCATCTAGCTCTATTTTTACTTGACAACTGCAGGAATGATGTTCCCAGAACGAAGAAAAATGGAAAGTTAGTTGGATTTTGACAAGAATGGACCAACCAATAGCAAAAATAATTTACTTTCTTTTGACGTAAATGTGTCAAATATTGAAAAGTATTTGATTGCTGCCAAAGCTAGAATGGTATTAAAAACTTCGTATTAACTTACACTTTTCTGAAAAAGTTCACTTGGACTTTTATTCTAGGTTCATCTATGCAGTGCTTTTTTTTCTAGGTCTTATATTAATGAATTATTTGGCTGTAATTTTTCACTGGAAAATATTTTTATACTAAATTTAAGAAAGTGTTTCACTACATTATTTATATTGTTACATTTTTTAACAATTTATTTGCTTGATTTTTTTTCATAAGCAATAAAATAAAGAGTTAATGTTTTTCACATCAAAGTTTTATTTGCTTTAATGAGAACAATTCCTGTTTAGCTCTGTTTCTGGAAGCTAAGACTGAAAAAAAGAAAGTCTCCTTAGGTCTTCCAGATTCACTTCATAAACGCTTTGGAAGATTTTGGTGTGTCTGCCATTTTTTTGTGCTTTCACTTGAAATGTTCTTAGTGAGAGTTCTGCTGTGGATTCCATATTGAAATATTTACTCAGATAGATATCTCGCTATTTAAAATATTTCAACTGCATGTTTTCGTTCCAATTGTTTTTAGTTTAGTTACACATATAATTCTAAAGAATGTCAGTTAGAATCATCATGGGCCAAATTACATTTTATTTATCTGAATTAATGTAAATAGGTAGGTTTGTAAATGGGTAGACACTCATGCATCTTTTGTGATATGTATGCAATGCTTGTTATACCACAGTCTCAGGAAACACAAACAATTTTAAACTAATTCAGTTGGAGGAAAACCACTGACATTTCTAAGATTTCTGTTGTAAAACTGAAGTCTTCTGATTGGTTAAAGTGGGTCTAAATTTGTCCAGGGTGCAAAAAAGTAGTTTTGACATTTCTATCACTTTTCTTCTTTTAGTGCTGGTGTTCATGAGGTTGAAAACATTGTTTCAGCAGAAAAAGATACTGGGTTTAGTCTGCTGAATCTGTTCTTTTATCTGACTTATATGTATAATATATATGTATATTTTATCTGACTTATATATATTGTGTCAACAAGGGAAGGAGGATGAAGGAGGAAACTAGGAAAATCAGAAGTGAGATAGCTGGTACTTTTCTATTTGTCACCACTCAGGTAGGTTTAAAGTGATCCTGAAATTACAGCCTTGCATCCTTCTGTCCTTTTCTCAAAGCATACCCATGTATATATACCCATGTATAAGAATTACCTTTATTTTTACTCACTAGTTCTGGAATAATGCTTCAATAGGGAATGTATCATCATTTCCCTTTCCTTAACATTGTTTTCCTTAAAAAAATAAAACTGTGTTTTGATTGTAGCAGCACAGGGGTTATTGGAAAGTAATTTGAAGTAATATGGCTAATGATGGTACAGCCTCCAATGGTATATTAAATAGTGTATATGGGGAATATTTGATCTGTGGCCAAGGAAAGATTACAAAGCATTATTTATGCACCAGGAATTCTTTGTGTTAAAATTAGGTTAACATTGGAACTTGATTCCACAAAATGTGAGAGTCATGCTAATCTGTGTCAAGATAAAATAATCTGCAGAGCAGCACCATCATTACAGAAGGAATCTTTTGATATTTTCCTGTTTATGAAGGAAAGGCAGGGGTTTTTTGCTTGTTTGTTTCTGTTTGCTTGCTTGCTTTTGTTTTAATCAGAAAACACCTGTTTTGTTATTTTAACATATTTTAACATCCTCAATATACTCAGAAAACCCTAATGTACCAAAAGTTATAGCATTAAAAGACCAATGTTAGAGAAGTAGTTGCTTTCTGTCTTAGATGACATATCATTTACTGAAAGACAGCCGGCAACCTCTGTGGTCACAACAGACAATTACTGATAGGAGTGAAGCACTGGTAATATCTCCAAGCAGTAAGCAGGAATCTGTTGATATGACTGCCTGTCATACTTGGTACAAAGGTAAGTTTGCTTACTTTTTCACTCTCCTCCAGTCCACATGCAACTTTTATTTTATTATTATTATTTTTTAAATCAGTAATAATTCCCCTTCATTAAGTATGCAGAAAGCCTTTGGAGAAACTTTCAGTCTCTCTTGAAGTAGGACCATATCCCTAATATGTTGTCAGGCCAAGAGATTATGGAGAAAGCTATCCAAAGGCATATAAAACCGGGGTATCAGCTGTCAAGATAAAGTTTGTATCCTTACTCTGTGATATACTTATCACTTCATTCTTGTGGGGAAGGCTCTCTAACTTTTCTAGAATGGTGTAATATATGGATTTTGACAGCTGCTTCTTTAACCACTGCTATGAAGCTGACCACTGAACTTCTGGTTTCCTGTGCATCCATTGTTAGTCAAACGTCAACCTAGATATATGGCTAGCCTTCCTTGATGTACTTTAACTGGCATTAATTAGCTTGTTCCAGTACAGTCGATTAAATACATGTGCATGCACAGATTCTGAGTTATTCCTAATTTTAATTAACATTTTTATGAGTGATAGGTCTCTGAATTTCTGTATTAGCTATTAGAAGTGTCTAGGTAGAGAGTGTGTTAAGATACCAAACCAAATTTATTTCAGGTTTAATCTTTGATGCATTTTTCCTGAAGTACAAAAAAAAAAAACAAAAACAAAAACAAACAAACAAACAAACAAACAAAAAAACCTTGCAAAAAATCTTGCTGATTATAGACTTTTTATTGACACAATACTACAATATATTTGTTGGATGAATATATAGGTGAAAGAAAATTGACTTCATAAAAATGCATGAATTTATAGATCTTGCTTCTGCTTGTGTGGGCAGAATACCTTTTCACCTGAGAGCCTAATATTGCTGGTATTGGTCAGGCCATTCAAAATCACAGTGGCTGAGACGAAAGGAAAATGGGGGAGTTTCTTCCGGATAAGAGCTTTCCCCAAACAGTTCTCTTGTTCTTGGCTACCTGCTGCTGCCATACTCTTTCCTTTGGCATTAAAAAAAATAATTTTTTTTAAAAAAAGAGAGAAAGATAATTTGATACATTAAAATGCTTTTTATATTTTGTATTGAGGTGAACATTAATGTCTGGAAAGAGGAAAATTCTCTTCTGTAAAATTCCCCTCAGTTGTTCATGCTGTTTTGTGACTTGCAGTGCTAGTGCACAGTGGTGGAGCATAGGGCTTCCAAGCCATCAGTAGTTTGCTTGTGTTCCTGTGCTGTGAACAATTATTCAGGTAATTGTCTTATCCTCAAGAAAAGGACAGTGAGTGAAAAGCTTTGCCCTGCAAACAGCCCATACATGTATGAAATACCTACACGTATATACACTTACATGTATTTTGTTAGAGATGATTTTTTTGTGTGTGCGTGTTAACTGATCTGTCCTTGATCCTAAAACGAGTATAAGAATGGATTCCACAAGTCATAATTTGGGTACATAACCTGTCTTATGTTTAAATCTCTTATTTAATCTCCTATCCAACTCTTTTTTAGAAATCTTTGTAAATGTAAGGATTTGAGTGTTAATGAAGATATATACCTATTTTTTTTCTTCTGTTTGTTTGTTCTTGTCTTCTTTTTTAATGTCCTGGAAATCAGATTCCTTTGTCTTTCTGATTATTTCCCATATTAAAAGGTTAAATATTCAGAAGAAAATGTGACCTTAAGTGGTTTATTTCCCACCCCCCAGGAATTGATTTTTATTGAGAAATAATCCTTCTGTTTTTCCTCCACATACATAAGGGCTTATGTCTAATCTTGGAATCCAAAGCCTCTAAAATTGCTTTAGATTTATTTTTATTTTTTAATTTTCTTTTGCAGCTTGGCATGGCTTTCTAACATCCTACTCAGTATTGCTTAAACTGTAGTATTAACAGTAAACATCTGAGAAAGATGAGTTGAGATGTTCAGAACAATATTTATTTAAAAAAAAAAAGTTAACATTAGTTTCTCTAAACTGATGATTTTGTCCTTATTTGTTTCTACCACTCAGTACGGAAGAGGGAACAAGGAGAAGCTGTATTAGGTGATAAGATGGATAACTGAAAGTTTTGCAGTGTTTATTGTGTACTTTATTCAGCTGGGAGTAAACCTTAGCTGAACTCACAGAATTTTAATGGACACAAATTAAAAAGGGATCTCTGAATTAAATCCAAGGTTATGATCTTTAAAGCCATAATAGCAGACTTGGCTGCAGGCTTCCTGATGTGTTAGATTTAGCACACTCCTCCTACTCCCTTGTATTTTCTTCCCTCTTCTGTCACAGTCAGCTGAAACACTAACACCTTTCTGCTTCTCATTGAGGTCGTGTACTAGTTTACACACCCAAGCTGAAGTTCTATTACTTTCTTTTTATTTTCTGTCCTGTGAAATAGATAAGCATCCCTGAATACTGAGTAGCAGTTGAGAGCTGCAATTTACATTTACATAATTCTTGTACAGCTTCTGAATAGGGGATGCAATAACACCGTTCCCAATGCTTTCTCATGCATGTATAGTGTCTGAGTATAACCAGTAGTTAAGTGAAGTCCTTACTGGGCAAGATGATATGTCTACCTGATTTTGGTAGAAAAGTTGTAAATACTTTTTGGTATAAAAGTTTTGGTATAAAAGTGTAAATTGCAGTGAATGTGCTGCTACATGCCTTTGGCACCTTTCCCCTAAATGTAACCATTTCCAGTTATGAGTTAAATCATGTCTGCTTCATATTCACTGAGAATATTTTTTTACCTGTTCCCCATCCCCCCACCAGTTGGTTTGTAGAGACACAGTCCCAGTGATATAAAATGCTTGTCAACAGAACTGGCTAGCTCCTGAATGACATCAATTTCAAACACAGGGAAGGCCATTTAAAAATACACTAGAACACTATCAATCAGAAAGGACTGAGCAAACAAATAAAAATATGTAGTATTTTTTGTTCCGCTTCGTGCTTTATTTTCTGGGCCAGTCCATAAATTCGTAAGACTTTAAGTCTAGAAGAGATTATAAAGATCATTTAATCATTAGCACAATCAATATGCTTTGCTTTCACTGGATGAAGAAATAAAAAATGGACTTGTTTAGTAAATGCCAGTGTTGGCTAACAATTGTTTTCTGAGTTTTTATGAGGGATTTACATTTGAAAAATCCTCTGCTGTTTTTTGAAGTCCTGGCACAGGGGCACAATTAGGCGGAAAGCATTATTTTATTCTCTCTCTGCCTCTCCTTCTTTAATCTCCATTAATGTTTGGTTTTCTCTGCATATAGTTTCTGGTATGTAACAGCTTCTCTAATTTCTTGTCAGGATTTCCTGGGTT